ATAATTTGATATTAGTTTTAACAGTTTGAGTGCCAAGCATTAGAAAGAAATGGTGTACGAATGTATAAATCTTTGCTATGCAGGCTTATCACTTAATATATTTAGTTTTTTTCAGGATTTTGTTAGTAACTAGAACTTATTTATTTTTATTTTATTTATTTATTTATTTGATTTGTCAATCGCTTACAAGATACTTAAGGTGATACAGTGTAGACAGCTAAGAATTCTCCATTTTTACTTGATTTTACTATTTTTAGACAATTGTTGGTCAAAAGCACTTTGCATCTAAGACTGATATCATTACAATTAGTGGAGAAACATGAGGTAACACTATACCAGGGGTGGGATTCTACTGGTTCTGTCCACTTCTGTAGAACCGGTTGCTCTGAATATCAGCAAACAGAGAGCATACATAGAACCAGTTCTATGTTTTCTGCTGTTTTGGCCCAGCCACCTGCCCAGGCTCTTACCTGACCTTTATTTCCTGTGTTTTCAACCGCAGCTGTTTTGCGCGACATAGCTGCAGTTGAAAAAGCAGGAAAAAAGGGCTTTTCCAACCACTGCGCACTTACACACTGCGCTGCTCAGCTGTCCGGGCAACTCAGCAGGTTGTAAATTGCACTCACACGACTCGTGGGCACGCATGTGCACGTGACACAGAGCGACAGAACCGGTAGTTATACCGGTCAGATCCCATCCCTGCACTATACCAATAGATGAAAGAGCTGAAGAACCAAGCTGAGGATAGATCCTGCTGGAGAAAATCAATGAGATATTTAAGAATCAACACTGACTTGATGGCACATAATCATCAATCATGTTGATATCAGATTGCTTGAACAATTATATTCTTCTTTTGAAATACTATTTATCTTTTAATTTTCTTCTCTCTATTCAGACCTAGAATATCTCATGACTGCTAATGACTGTTCAAGGGATCAGGCAGATAAGCAGTCTTCCACCTAGGAATCTTTTAATTGATTTGAGCCCATTCATAGATAATTTGCATCTAAATGTTTAGAAACACAGCAAAAATTATCTTTTGTATTGAGTTGACAGTGTAATAAGATATAGATATAATGTAATAAGATAGATAGATGATAGATAGATTGATAGGTTGATAGATTGATAGATGAGATAAATAGATAGATAGATAGATAGATAGATAGATAGATAGATAGATAGATA